CTTTGATGACTGAGGGCGCCCTTGTAAACATTGCTTCCAACACAGTGTGTGAATAAGCTTCATTTGATTAGTCTTTTTTAGTTATGTAGTGGAGGTCATGACCCCAAGTCAGCCAATTGTTGCCCATTTGGATCATTACAGGACTGCTGCTCTTCTGATGATGGTCGTGGTCTTGCATTATTGACGTTGAATACTGAGCATCTAATTCAAAAATAATTAAATCATAATTAATCAAGATGAGTGCACAGCATCTTTGATCATTGATTTGGAATTGGCGCTATATAAATCCTTAACATTTTATTATCATTAATAATCTAACCATTTAATTAAACATTTCCTGATAGGTACAGATATGATGTTAAATAAAACAATAATGATAAGGTTACTGGTATTAAAATGATGATTGTTATTAATTATTATTATTATTACCTCCGCCAACTTCGTTATTTAGCTATTTAGTTGGCACGAGGTTATATTTTTACCTGGTTTTTTATTTACCTAATTATTTATCTGTCAGCATATTTGTTGTGAACAGACTACAGCCCATATTTTATCAGAAATTCATCAAACTTCGCCACAATGTTCCTTTACCCAAGATCTAGAGCTGATTGAATTTTGAAGGGTCAGGGTCAAAGGTCAAGGTAATAATCAACAAAAAAATCTATGTCTATACTACACTAGCCCATAGTTTTAATCACAAACTTGTCAAACTTGGTCACATGTTCCATAACCAAAGATCTCAAAGTATTTGAATATTCAAGGGTAAGGGTTAAAGGTCAAGGTCACAATCAATGAAAAACTATTTTTTAAAAACTTATTTGTCTATCTATAGCCCATGGTTTTTTTTTCTGTAAAACATCTGTAAAATTTACATACTGTAAAATGGATTACATAAGCCTCTGAAACCCTGAAATTGTGATAGCAGAATAGGGCCAGGACTTGCATTTCTCCTTAAATAGTAACTTACTACTTTGAGTATAATAAAGAAGTTCTGTCAGTATACATTTTTAGTCACCATTCCACACTTTAGGCTTACTGATGAGTGTATTAGAAGTTTAGTAAGCATTTCTCTCTACTTTCATACCTACATGTGTTGGCCGAGAAGACACTGTGCTGGTAGGAGTAACACACTGCAAGGTGTGCACGACTGATTGGGGAGCAAGAGAAAGGAGGAACTCCGACCATCAAACAGGGGGTCGTCTTATACGCCAGACATACAAAAATTGTCAACAAATCTTCTCTAACTGGGGAGTCATCTTATACGCCGATCACCTTATATGCGAGTATACGGTATATAATAATTCTTGTGGTACGCCATGTAGATATCAATCAATCAATCGGGGATTTATCAGGCGCACGTATCTATCAACCTTGATATGGAGATGCTCGCGGCGCAGCTGCCTAAAAAATTACGATGCACGTAATTTATGATATGATAGAATTAATATATTTTTACTCTTTCCCATGCAAACTTTTAAGAATAATATAGGGAGGACATTTAAAAGGCAAATTTTCAACACTGCATGAACAAATGTAAGCTGATCTTACATTTTTTCCTTAAATGTATTTGTAAAGGTAAATTGAGATTGGTCAAAAACTGAGCTTTTGATTGGGGAAAAACACAACATAAAATCAGAAAATAACCTACAGAGTAGAAGCAAGCATATGAGGTAGGCTTATACCCCCCAAAAAAACTACAGTATCACATGAATAGGAAGGGCGGGTGCACATACCTGTCTCCAATTGTTCTTTTTGGTTTCCAGTAACCAAATTCTCCATTGAAGACCATTTCTTTCATATTAACATACAAGTAGAAATCAATAAGATATTTGAACTTGGAAATCCTGGAACCACTATGCGCTAAAGAGATTAAGATATTTTCATATTTATAGCATCCTGAAGAAGTTAATTGCAAAAGCTTGGGGTGTTCAATAAATTATATTTTGTAAAGTAAGTATAAGTAACTGCTGCTCAATATTTTTTACTGATTTAGTTCAGACTAACAGCAACTCAGGGGTCCAAAGTTGCAAGAACCCAAACTCATAAATCATATTAAGAAAAATAATCATTGTATTATATTTTTGACAATTATTGGTAAGATTTTAAGATATGAAAATGCATTTTCCCGGCACCCAGAGGTTAGTATTCTCAAAGTGTTCGCACCTCAGGTGTGAAAATTTGACTCTCATGCACCCATGAGTGCATATCATGGGGCAGGGGACATGTTCACCCCTGACATATTTTTAACTTGGGGGGGGGGTGTTTGTCCCCTCACTTTTCGTCTGAAATGGAATTTTCGTAAGTCAGAAGATGTTGAAATAAACTGCATAAAATGACCCAGGTTTTAATGAAAGAGCGCTGTACAGCCAAGGTACATCATATTTTATTGCAACATACCGGTATCTCTGCCCACAAACATGTGAATACATGACTCAAGTGTGCATGCTTTATTATTATTTGAAAAGTATGAGAAAAAGGGTGCAAAGATAATATTAGTTTTCGGCCCACGTAGGTAAAGTAAAGTAAATACATCAAAGACAATTAAGCTTTATTTTCTATGGTACAATATATCACAGCGATTTATTAGATCGATGATGATGAATTATACTATACAAGAGTGTCATATCCGGCAATCTAGAGGTACTATTTCCCCGAATTTTATCACCTAAGCCCCAACGATGGTGAGGTTGAGATGGGTGTGGACTCATGGTTCTGAAGTAGGTAAAAGTAAATACATCAAAAGACAATGTTTTTAAGTTATATTTTCTATAATACCGTACATCAAACATATTAATTAAATATATATGGTTGCCGAAAAGCTGCTAAAAGATCATTAAAATTTGTTGGCGCTTTATTTTGACTATAAAATGGTGATGTGATCAACGGCTGCGGAACGCTTTTGGAAGCCGGGGGGGGGGGTCATTTCATAAGGTCCAATATGCGAGTGAAGCGAGCATCTAGGCTGGGGGCCAGGGGGCCACTAAGGCCATCTAGGCTGGGGGTCCAGGGGGCGAGGACCCTTGGAAGCTACGGATATTTTACGAAGTTTGGTGAATTTCATAAAATTTGAATATAATTATCTTTATATCGCCATTATCTTTATATCGCCGGCTGGGTCCCCTTGAATTCGCCACTGGGTACTTTAGAAGATGGAGAATCTATACCACCTCAGCCCCACCATGGTTGGGACTGAGGTAAGAAAATTTGTGGTTATGGCACCTCTAGATGGCGCGAAATTACACTCTCAGACTTAAAATTTGAATATAATTTTGCTTATACAATACAATACAATACAAATCTTTCTTTATTCTGAATGGCTCTTTCAATACAATAAAGTACTGGTCTCCCAAGAGGTCCAGATTTATAGGAACATTACAAGAAAATAAAAGAAAGGTAAAAATTTAAAGTAAAAACTATGTACAATAGAAATTATAAAAGATTTTTAAATTCAATTAGACTAAGCAACTTAAAATTTGTGCGAATATGTACAGGAAGATTATTCCACAAGATTGATGTTCTGTACTTAAAATTTCTCTTTCCATGAATATTGTTCCATG